TTATTATTAAAATGTTATATAGCCCACGTTTTTATAAACATTATTATTATTTTTTATTTACATTTTATATAGCCCACATTTTTATAAACATAATTTTTTTTAAATTTACCGCTTAGGCAATAATGTTGACAATAGCGTATATCTTCAACATACCAAAAATGTAAGTTGTTCAGTGGACTTTTAAAATTTGCTTTGCTTGAGAAAATAAAAATATACAGTTAGTGTTTTTTTCTTTTTCTTTTGATTTAGTCGAGTTGGTTTTGCATCAAACACAATGTAACTTTCGGCAATCGAGATCTGGCAATTAGTGCATTTTTCCACTTGGGCGAGCGCTTCGCGAACAGCTTACCTCGCGCATTAAATCTGCCGCAGACCAGCAAATCACTGAGAACGCGCTATAATCCTGGCGAGTCATAGCAACAGAGCGGAGGCGAGAAAGCTGCAGAGAATCTGCTCGCCCGGAAGCAACCATAACTGATGTAGATTTACAGAAAATGACTGCCGTTTGGCAAAAAAAATAATTTTACGTACTTATTCCTAACTCTTTAAGCTTTAAGTTACATTTCAAATGACAAGGGATCAACTTATAATCATGTTTATATGAATTATCCCGTGAACTTATTCTCTAAAATGGCCTGGGTATGCGGAGCATTCGCAGCTTATATGGACGGAACGCCACTGGTATACAGGTGTGTATTAGTCTTGTGTGAGCATTATATGCATATGTGTGAGCGTGTGTGATCATTGACCGTACAGAGTCTTTATCTTTTTTTCTGTAAGTCGTGAGTGACCACATGCTGGACTTGATTTGTCTTCGAAGACAGATTGGCTCATCCCAGATTTAGAAACTGACTGAGTGTGTTGCCTACCAACCGATCCGAACATGGCTGATGAGCTGGCCAGTGTGGATTGTGGTCATCAAACACAATGGGTTTGCTATGACAGCTGAGGCTGAGCGAAACCACAGGACACGAGACTCTATTCATACAACAGGACAACATGAATGAATGAATGACTGAGAAAGGTTTCTGTGCTCATAGAAGACCTGAAAAATCAGAGAATTGTAAAATTGTGATTTTTCAATCATGGAAAAGTCATGGGAATTTCTTAATATCTTAAGAAAATCTTAAAAGGTTATGGGAATATTGTAGCAAATGTAAAACTTTTCTGTAGAAAATGGAAATCTAGTTTTTCTCTAAATTATAAAACTGTTCAAAAGTTTCGGGTCAGTACGTTTTTGAAGTGTTTTTGAAAGACGTTTCTCTTGCTTGCTAAGGTTTCATTTATTTGATCATAAATACAGAAAAACATTGCTATTGTGAAATATTATTACTTTTAAAATGAGCTATTTTCTATTTTAATATATTTTACAGTGTACTTTATTCCTGTGGTGGTAAAGCTGTATTTTTAGCAGCCATTACTCCAGTCTTCAGTGTCACATCATCCTTCAGAAATCATTCTATTATGCTGATTTGGTGCTCAAGAAACATTTTTTTTCATTATTTATGTTGAAAACAGTTGTGATGCTTAATATTTTTGTGGAAACCATTATATATTTTTCATGATTCTTTGGTAAAAAGAAAGTTCAAATTAAATTGATATCTTTTGCATGATGTATTTACTCTCAATTTTGATCCATTTAATTCATACTTGCTGAACAAAAGTATTTCTTTAAAAATAATTAAGAAAAAAAAAACTTACTGACCCCAGACTGGTAGTGTATGATTTCTGAATCGGCTAGAAATGTTCTTTGTGAGTTAAAAAGAAAAAAAGTATTATGCAAAATTGAAAGAGATTTCACTTTTGTGTGACCTACAAGGTTTCACTTCAAAATAAATATCTAAAGTGAGTCAGTGAGTGTGAATGAATTAATTTACTCTGACCTTACTGGGCGCTGTATGAGCTCACTGACACACATTGGGTGACAAACATAATATTGACAATCTATTGTCTGGATCAGAGCCCTGCAGGCAATCACAGCAGCCAGCAGTGCAGAAAGTGACAGCGAAGCTGTGAGCATCAGCCCAGTGATATAGCCCGAGGCACAGCAGACAGTAGAGCTCAGTGTGTGAGACCGAGTCCTTTCTACTCCAGATGGTCTGCGTGTGTAAGAGGGCAGAGAGTGAGGAATCACAGA